AAAGCTAAATGATTGTCTAAAACGTTAAACTCTTAAAGATCGACCAAAAATACCTTTTGACTGACTTGTAACATCTCGAATTCGATACATTCAGTGATCACTTTTTCAGAATGAACTTCTTGAATTTGTCAATGAAAACATTCAAAATCAATAGATCTTGAATCAAATTTGTTGTATTGATAAAAAACGTTAAATGACAGCATATATTCAAATGATGTTTTGCTGTTACTTTCATGAAATATAACTGTTATGCTCGATCTAATGAAATCTGAATTCGAATTATTTTGATCAAACAATCAACAAATATAATATTTGTCTAAGAACTGTTTGTGTATTGTTTTCTATTGAAATTACATGCATTCAAACAATTTCATATAAGATCTCGACATCTTCAATTGTGTCTATCATATAAAATTATGTCGAAGATAACCATACGTTTTTATTAGAATATTTTACTTATGAATAGCTGAATAAACGACTGGAAAATTCGAACGGTCTTCATCGATAATTGTTGTAACTGTCAAACATTTAACTGGCTTTCATATACTACTACTTCATTTTTGATAATACGTCTTTAGGCATCTAAATTTTCTATTCATTACAGTCTCTGGATTTTTTATATCATTTCATCATTATTTTAATTTTACTTTGAAAGAGTATTGAGTGTGTATACGAATGACGAACATGGAGAACAAATTTTTTGTCTTTGTGACAATAGAATAGTACTAACATCACACCTATCAAATATCTATTATTGTGAAGAATTTCTTGGATGAATCCAGTACATGTTCTTACCAATACTTAAGCTGAAATGTCAAGAAATAGAATACATGCTCATGACTTCATTTGTAGTAATATAGTTTAATTATGTCAATAGGATAGAAAAGGAAAGAATAAACTTTAGGATGTTTTATTTAAGAAAAAAAAAAACCGAACTACAGAGTAAAAATGTACTATGTACGTTTGAGTATATTCAATTGTCGAGGATTAATTGGTCCGCCGATCCACATATTGTCTGTATTTACATTTTCGACAGTTTTGACAGCTGTTTTCAAGTAAAGTCCATTTTTGATGCCATAAACAGTTTCTGCATCTCTTAAAGTGCGCACAACTTTTACCAAATGAGAATCTTCGGCTAAGTTGGTGTTCAATGTTCGTTCAATAACGTAATTCCAATTCTGTTTGCTATTGTCAATTTTGTAATTGTAGATAAGTTCTTCATTAATCTCAGGTCGAAGTTGAGAAATATAGATCATACTAGCGATGTAGAAGAATTGCCAAAGAATATGTTCGGCAAGTTTTTGATCATTTATATGTGGATATATCATACGAATAGCATGCATTGATGTGACCAAATGAAGAAGAAAAAAATCAAAGTCAATTTGATTGGGTTTATGTGTAGCACCATACAGATAAACACTCACGTCGAATAGATCTTCAATTGTTTTTTCAAGATTGTTCACATTAATCTGCCATTGATCGAAATAAGATAGAACGATATCGATCGATTGTTTTACGCTTGGCTCTAGATTGTCAACACCTGGCGCGTCAAATAGTGGTAATCGATTATCTGCACGAAGATCTTTGAAGATTTCTAAAATTGTTTTCGAGCCAGCTTTGGGTGGCTTCAATTTGTCGATAAATTCATGATGATAGTTGTAGCCAACTGCAGTTAATGTCAACGCTTCAGACGCCACTATTCGACTATCCAATTCGAATGCATAACCAATATGAATGAGAGGATGAGCTAAACCACTGATTACACTGTTGATCATCGGTTCTGATTTATTGTCTAACAATAATTCGAAGAATTTTTGCTGCCAATTGTTTCCACTAGCTGTCAATTCTTGATCGAAGAAATCTCTATATGCTTTGCAGAAGCGTTCATCACCGAGTGACTTTCGCCAATTGCCGCTAGTAATTTCGTGTGGTGACGCTTCATACGGAGTGGCTTCTTCACACATAATTTTGTAGAGCTGTTCGAGTCTATCATCAGTGGCGCCCAAGAAGTGGAGAGATGCTAAATGATGTGCAATATGAGTATGAAAACCACGATGGTCAAGAACTTGAAAACGGGCATACGCATCTGCCAACAGATTGTTAAGTACAGTGCGACTCATCGAAATTGAATGAATGTAGAAAGTAAAGTTTGTCGATTGTTATTCTCGTGGTGTATGTATATAAATACGTGCAATATTCTGCATTGTCATTCACTATGCTTTTTCTTCTTATTCTTTCTGTACAACATAAAAATGTTGTGTAGATAAAGAAAAGAAATAAAACGCTGCCTTTTTTTTTTCTCTTTTCTCTAATTCTTCTTGCCCGATGTGTGTTGACGCTGACACTAGTCGTTTTTTTTTTCTAGTTGATAATTGATCCGATGAAAAAGCGTGTGTAGTGAACTTCCAATCAAAACTAAATGCATACACCGTGCTTACATTTAACCGAGATATATTAACTCAATTTTATATTGCTACAATGATAAAATTTGATGTACTGTACATGTAGTATTATAGATTTTTTCAATCACAAGTGAGTTTCACACGAAAGATGGCACTATAGCGTTGTAATGAATACAGACATTGCGAGAATAGATTCGCCTTGAGTAGAATTCGAAATGGCTCAGTTTTTCTATCATGACACTTACAATCGGAACCCTGATTCAGGAAATTTTTTTTTTTTGTTATAATACTGAGACCTCTTTTCGTCGATTATTTACATTAGGTATGAAGTTTGAATAATATGCTTCTATTGATTAAAATGATGATTGTGTACTATAGTGAGTGAAAGGAAAAGTGAAGAAAATTTTTGTCATCGAACTATTTTAGAATGAGCGGGTCAGTGTGGGTCTTATGCCCATGTGTCAGAAATAAATCATTAATGTTAAGAAATCAGATATTGTTATTTGTTTTGTCAAAGTATTATGCGTACTTGTCAAATTTTGACTGGTTGATGGGATGACAAAAATTTTGAGAGAAAACATATTGGAATGCATGGCAAACACACTTCACACATTCAGTTTGAATAATTTTTGTTTCCCATAAGAATGCATATTTACGTACTTTTGCAAATAGAACTCACTACTGTGTATCTCTTGAAAGCCACTGTTAATTGTGCGTGAATACGAAGTTTTCTAATGATAATTATTCTGTTTAGATAAAATTTTCTTAAAAGTTACTTTTTGAGAATGGGAATTTTTTTCTCTTGTTTATTTCTTTATAGACAAGTATTCTAAGAATTTCACAAATCGAATTTATCTTTCTACTTGGAACTCAAATATCATGTGATGATAAATAATCAAGGGGGAAAGTGCTGGCACCCAGCACCCTGGCACCTCAGCACCTGCTCAGCACCTTGGCACCTTTTCAGCACCTGCTCAGCACCTTGACACCTTTTCAGCACCTCAGCACCTTTCCAGCACCTCAACACCTACTCAGCACCTGCTCAGCACTTGTGGGTTCTGTGAAGGTTAGAAAGTTAGAACATAAATATTAATTGAGAAGTTGCTTAGAAATAGNAATCAATTAGCATCTCAGCACTTCAGCACCCGCCCAGCACCTACTCAGCACCTGAGCACCTACTCAGCACCTACTCAACACCTGAGCACCTACTCAGCACTTTTCCAGCACCTGAGCACCTTCTCAGTACCTCAGCACCTGCTCAGCACCTCAGCACCTGTCCAGCACTTTTCGGTGCTGGGTGCCAGCACTTACCCCCTTGTAAATAATTCAAAGAAAATAAGAATTTGATTACTGTCAAAAAACATATTTTTATTATAGCAGATCATCTTTATTCGGTCCCAATCAATACTGATCAAATACACTTACAAGGAACTTTGAAAGATTATTTCGTACTCGATTGAAATACAAAAATTCGAGTTTCAGGTGCTTGTTTATAGCATGGAAGTACATTGATATTGTTTTTTTTACAGATGAAGTCAATAAGAATTTGTAGGAAGTTCGATAGTGCAGTTTCAGAAAAAAAAATCAAGATTCTATTATTTTTCAGCAGTGCGAAATATACAAGACAAGAGTGTTACAATCATTTTAATACATCCGCTATTTTTTTGTCATAATCTTACAAAATCGATTCCAAAATCTATGATATGCTATTTCACACGAAAACGAACAGAGTATGTAGCTGACAATCGCAGTCTGTCGGGCAAAAAAAATCTTGTTGCGAAGTATGTTTCACGCTATGATGTCAAAAAGCTCTGTTCATTCTCCTTGTCGCGTTCACTCCCACACACGTATTTTGCATTCAGCTGGTCTATTTCAGTCCATTGGGGGAGGGAGTCCAATTTTCTTGCTATTTATTTTAACACTCAGTAGATGATATGAATCTTCTATTCATACATCAATGAATCATTCAAAAATGTTGAATACAAATTTAATAAATTCGAACACTTGAAGTAAAAGAATAATATAATGAGATCTACGTTAGTTGTCGAAAGCTATAGTTTTTATTGATGAATTGATGCAATTGACTAGTGGATTATTTTGCATTGTGTTCTCCTCTTCTTGTTTCTACCCATGGACATGTCTGATGGCGCTTATCATCGATGCTTTTATTTACTATTCATCGTCGTTTTTAGTCATTGGTTCTTTTGTTGACCAATTTGCTAATCAATGTATATATTTCAGATGAACAAAAAAAAAAACAACTCTTTGCGATATTCTCATTGAAAGCATATATATCAAAGATATTGCCATTCTATAGTATTGTTTGGTGTACTTACTTGCTTCGCGATTGTCCTTGAAGTCCGTGCAACAAAGATTCTCTTTCTCTTACACAGTTGTGAGTGATTCATTTTCTTATCCTGTATAATTCTGAATAAATAACAAGGCCGTGTGCATATACACACTATTTTATCGAGTCCTTGTATCGTATTCTGCGATATCTTGTTGTTATTATATAACACATCGAACACACTTTATGTAATAATACAGACGAATCATTGTAGATATTCGATAGAACTGTTGTGTTATTAGTCGACGACAATGTGTTGGATTCTTGGCTTGATATTCATTTTCTATATTATTTATCGAACCTATCGACATTTTTATCCGACGCTAAACATTGATCCTTGCGGTAAATATGTTTTAATTAGTGGTTGCGATAGTGGATTCGGTTACCAATTGGCCATTGAACTAGATAAAGATGGTTTTAATGTTCTTGCTGGTGTTTACAATCCGACTAATCAAGATTCACTAAGTCACCAACTGTCGTCACGTGCAACAGTGTTTTCTCTTGATATTACTAAACAGGAGGATATTGACAAAGTCTTTACTCTTGTCCAGAGTAAAACCAATGTTCTTCATGCTCTCGTCAACAATGCAGGTATAGGTAAAACTGGATTCATCGACTGGATGTCCATGGAGTTTTTACGTAACATCATGGAAGTGAACTTTTTTGGACATGTCATGATGACGAAGAAGTTTTTACCTTTACTAATTTCCAAACGAGATTCGCGTGTGGTAAACGTTTCTTCCGTTGCTGGATATTTTGCTGGACCAAGCATGACGGCTTATGCTTCTTCAAAATTTGCTCTTGAATCTTTTTCGGATTGTCTTCGTCGTGAGATGAATGTCTGGAATTTGCGTGTCAGTATCATTGAACCTGGCTGCATGCGAACGCCGATTATCGAAGATATTGACAAAGCTATGACAGACTTCTGGAACAAGGTACCACTTGATGTCAAGGATCGTTGGGGAGAAGAGTTTTGGAAGGATCAACTCGATCAAGCCAACGCCAATATTTTCATTCAACATGCTGAAAATCCTAACAAAGTGGTACGCGCTCTTCGACATGCTGTTCTGAACACGACACCACATATCCGTTATCGACCCGGTTGGCAATCAAGTTTAGTACTTTTTCCTCTCTCTAGAGCTCCTACTGTCTTAATTGATTGGTTCTTGCAAAAAGCAAGTCCTAGCCGAGTTCTTCCTGTAGGACTTGAAAAACAAATAAAAGAATAAATCACGTTGATCGATACTGAATGTATTTATTTTTTATTTACGAAGGAACATTTATTAGTGTCTGATACTGATCGAGTTCATATTCTGCACATTTAGATACGTCTCATGTTCCTTCGAATGCCATAACACTTTTGCCGAAAACAATTGTTTCCTTCTCAAAATAAGGAATTTCCACACAATACTTACCTTCCACAATCTGGTCAAAAGAATCGAGTTGGCTAGAAAAGCTATTATATCAAGAAGAAAAAATTCGTTTTCGCTGAAACTTTTAGGACATTCTAAGGACTGTGACACCCATTCATCAACAAAGTTTCAAGATGAAATTTCTTCATATGATTTTTTTCGAGATAACGTTGGAAGTAGTCTAAAGTCTCAAGGAGAATCTACTTGTGAACATAATATGAGTTCGATCGATATCGATCACTTGCGGATGTTCCCTCATTAGTCAAGTAGGCAACATGCATAAAGCAAAAGTTCGTTTTTTTTGTAACAACTGCTCTTGACAGTTTCACATAAGCAAACCATAATTTAGTCTATGAATCACAATTACAGGTTGTGAATTGAATATCACGCAGAGAAATTCAAAACAATTGTAAATTTTCTTTATAGGTATAATCACGACGAGAGCAATGAGGCTTTTACTAACTATACCAACTAGTGTTATGTTTAGGCACACCAGGTGACAATGCCGAAAAGATATCATACTTGTGCACATTACTGTGGGCAGCGCCAACAAGATGGAAAGCTAGTTTTTTTTCTACCGTAGATTTAGAACACTATGAATCACAACTGGTGCAACAAAATATCACTCGTTGCAAACAAAGTTCAATCGAATAGTTAAGGAAGAAATTTTGTTAAAATCATTATAGTAGTGAAATGGACGCCTCGTTCTCATCAGAATGTAACTCGCATAGTCTGTTGCATTGCCAATATTCCTTTCAGTTAAGTCATTGACATGTGCATTCAACATGAAACAGTAACTGTTGGATTGAAATATTCTTCAGTGAAAGGAGCGTATTAATTTCTGTTCTCTGTGAACTACTGTTGGTATGAGACTTATTGTAACAGGGAGATGACATAAAACACAGACAAGCAAGAAACCCAATCCATTGACGATCACAATCCAGAATAATTGGAGCTTCGAGAGATCAAACAAAAAGAGAAATAAAAGACTGAGACAATAACCCCGAAGAGACATGCTAACAAACTCTTTTCTTGCACAGCCAATTCTACATAATCTTGATGAATGAGACATTTTGAAGAAGATTAACTGAAAATAAACTTGATTATCAACTAATATAAACTATTGTACGATCACAAAGATGTTCGTAGTTAAAAATCTATTGAAAATCAATTGGATTCGTTCATCTCTCTAACTGTTTCTATGAGGATAGACTCACGTTATGATGATGATTACTATTGTTGTTTTTTTCATCTGGATATTTTGTATAGAGAACATGAATTTGGATATTTCCATCAGAATCATCACGAATTGTATAACCTCTCATATTTTATGGAACCGAACAACGACATTCATGCATTATGATTGTTTGCTTGTATGAAGCAGTAATTGGCGAATACAAATGAGGACATAGGTGAGAATGTCTTGCGATCGAAAAACGTAGACAACACGAACAAAAAACACACTGAGCCTTAGAATCTACTGGAAAACAGTTAAACTTGGATAAAAACCATTTTTTATCTTTTTTTTCCTCTAATAATGTTTACAAATCACTGCAATGAAAAAATTGTTTTTTCTTCCACTTGCTTTGCAGCGATTGTCTACATTCGTACAAGCAGAAAAAATATAAATAGTTTGCGTACAATTTCAACCCTTTTTCAGTAGATTGTAACGCTGGGAAGTTTTATTTTTTTTCGTATTGTCTGCATTTTTCGAATCGCCAGACATTCTGACCTATTGTTCATTTACATTGACCAATCATTTGTTCAAATAAGCAAACAATCATGATTCACGGATAATGTTGTCCCGCTCCACAAAATGTGAGAGGTTGTATAATTTGCAATGATTCCGATACAAATGTTCAAGTTCATGTATTCTATAAAAAAAAATCTAGACGAAGAAGACAGCAATATTGATCATTATCATCATAATGTAAATCTATCTCAAGGTCAAACACTTCGAATTGAACGCAGAGTTGTCATTATGGGTGAATGTGAAACATACACACCAATTAAAACTGTTGAAGTCACTCGAGCTAGTAGTCAACCCATGAAACTTAGCGAACTGTTCGATGGTGTAAACGAAATTGAAAATAATTGGCTTTTTGTCATTGACAACACAGGCATTCGTTCGGCTCACATAAACAGCTATTGATTTTCAATAGACATTTGATTATAAACATCTGTGTGATTGTAAAACAATTTCTATTAGTTGATAGTCGAGTTTATCTTTAGTTAACATTCTTAAAGCTGTCTTTCTAATGTCCTAACAGGTGACTTCAATTAACATCAGTAATATGGTGACCTATATCCAGAATAATTGTAATTATTATTCATAGCTTTTGTATAATTGGGTCAAGAATTTGAAGTTTCTGAAAAAGCGTCAATCGAAGGGCGTTGTCTGGAAGTTATTGTGGTTCAAAACAGTGAATCATAACTTATCGTCATCTTCCATATATGCATCGTGTCAACACTGGTTCTGAAAGTCAGTAGAGGACTGCGCTAAAATTTTTAGCTCTATACCATTACGTTTGTGGGATGTACTCAACAAACGTGGGTATGTATTTTATTATTCTTCGTTTGAATGGACATATTAGGGTGTAGGGTATGACAGAGTCCTTTTTCCTTAGATTCTTAATTTTTAATTGAACGCAGAATAATAGTTTATTTTGTCGAAAAATACTGCTCTAATTATAAATGCAATCTTTTATATAAGTCACAATACTTAATTAAAAACAAAAACGAGACAGTATCGGGCTTTGCAACTTGACGTGTTCTTCAAACAACAACAAAATTATATACATATAGAATGAAGGCCCATAGTGAATTCTGAGCTGCACGATCAGAAAAGCATAAATAGAGACAAAACGAAAAAAACATTTCTGACTTTTCTTAAAAACATGCATATTTTTCCAGACGATCATGTCAAAAATCATCGAACATTTCAACAAGAAACCAGATGACGAGGAAAACGATTATGTCATTTATGAAAGATTAAGCCTCAGCCTACTTTGTCATGTATTGATGGTAACTATCATTTGTTGACGAAATTCTCCTTTTTTTAAGGGGAAGAGGATGAGTTCAAATGTAAAGATCAATTCAAAATATCGAGAGCATTCGATCAATTAAAGATTTCTTTACAGCCACTGATATATCGCAACACTACAGACAATTGATGTCTGGTTTGCAAGAGGCGAAAAATATAATCTCGGGTTTATCTTCCGATTCTCAACGAAAAAGAATATCGGTTTCGACGACAGTAGGGCAAGATCGACCCTAGGTGGCATTCTTACTGTGAACAAAAAACACTATGAGACCACAGTGTAGATTATTCTCAATCATTCACGAAAATTCCAAGTTCTCGTTGATGATCCTACTATTAAGTTAGAGAACAGTCTTACCTACTTATACGGATGGTGGTTGAATGAAAGTTACATTTCTACCAAGTTCTACAATATCGTTCGAATCCCGCTTGCCTTGATAGACGACAGAAAATTCATAAGAGAACTGTTTCACTTCGAACAGTGGTTTTAGCAACTGATACATTCAAATAAGGACTTGGATGGAGTTTCACACATGTCTTGTCAAGTATATTAAAGACAACGGATGCCGTCCTTGATTCATTTTCAATTGTTAATGAATTACAGGAACTTCCAAAGTCTTTATCTTGATTAAAGGTGATATCATCCGAAATCGCTAATTTACATACAAACACTCTACACGATGAAACAATCGAAGTCATCCTTAGAATATTTTACTAATTCAAGACTACATGCTTCTACAATAATGAAACGAACTGAAGATATTTTTACTTTTGACACAGGATTTATAAAAAAACCGGACACATGAATTTTTGCTTAAGACTTTGTTCGTAAACAGTTCTTGCAGTTATTAGAATTTTTGAAAAATTCTAGCGAAAAATACTAGTCCCTCCTCGAGATATCAAATCCACAAAAATACCATGATATTCCACGAAAAAAATGGAAAATCGAGTTTTTTTTTGTGGATTTGATATCTCGACAAGAGAGCACTTTTCTTGGCTAAAATTCATTTGTCCGGCTTTGCTTTTAATAAATACTGTACTAAAGGTAGAAAGTCTAGTCTAACAAGTAAAGCTCCAACAGAACAGCGCACAGAGTAGAATCCATCTAGGCTTGTTCTAATTTCAACAGGCGCCACATAATGAGTGAGATATCATCTTGAGTGATTCCTCTTGTGAAATGCAATCATTCAATAACAGAAAAATGAATAAATTATTTATTAGAGAAAGCATTTTCTGTTCAATAATCTCATCGATCATCTGCTTCATTATGTGAATAAAACTATTAAAGAATAATCAAACCATTTTGTTTTTTTTTTCTACCTTATAAACACTTTTTTTTTTAATACAACGAAATTCAAATACACCGTATTATATTATGAAAACAACAGCAAACAAAACTGATATGTTTACGATATAATTGAAAATGAATAAAACAATTAAATTAGACACATAGGTGGATTGACAAAACCAAATACATTTAATTCAATTAATAATGAGAAAATAATGAATATTCCATAGACAGCAAGAAAAAAAGTACCAAGAAATGGATCTAAATACCATTTTCTACCATGAAAACTCATCACCTAAAATAAAAAAAAAGAATATTGACATAATAAAAAATTTTCATTGTTTTTTTTTCTCTTACTGTTATAATAACAATGCCAAGCAGTAATACCGAATCATACAGAAGTCCATTGGAATTAATATGTACTGCTTCACCACTAATTAATGTTTTAAAAAACCATGGTACAGCAAGTCCAACAAGTAAATCAAATACATTTGAACCAAATGTATTTGATACTCCCATATCCACAAGACCTAAGAAATCAAAGTTTTTAGTTGCTGAGAACAATTCATCGCATGGATAATATGGTAAATTAGAATTTCGTCAAATGTATTTTTACAATTTGTCCTATAACCGCTGAACTTTCAACATAAAAAAATTATCAAAATTCCGACGAGAAAATAGACAAAGATGCCGAAACTGAGATGCAGAAATTCTACATAACCGAATAACTCGTCGCAGGACATGTTAGTCTTAAATTATCATGAAGGAGCATCGAAAATAACTGGGCAAAGGTATTGGTGTAGGTGAATGTATGAATTATAATTTCTGTATCATTTCATTTAAATTCAACTTATTACCTTGACGAACAACTAAAACACTACTAAGTGCATCTGGAACACTGCTACCCGCTGCAAGAAATGTTATTCCCATAACACTGTCTGGTATACCAAATGTAAAACCAATTATTGTTACCATCCAAACCATTAGATAAGTTAATATACATAACCAAACAATAGTCATTACGAATGTTAATGGATACCATTTCAAGAATCTATTTTTCATTTATTCTAAATCGATGTTATATAATTAAAGTCTATTTTACTTACCTTGGATTTCGGCAATCAGGAATAGTATAATAGAAGAGTATTCTAATTGGTAAAAGAAATATCCATTTAATAAATCCAATAAGGTTATAATTATAATTAGGAATATTTTTCCAATCATCATAAGGTTGTTCTATTGCTAATAAACTAGAAAAATAAAACAAAAAACAATTTCTTTGATTGAAAATATTCAAAAATAAAATACCTTGGTGTTCGACCTTGATAAAATGAAAATCTTCGTTCATTGATCGGTTTATCTGGACGAATAACACCTTGTCCTTTTCGTAATTTTATCTATAAAACAAATAGAAAATTTTTTTTTTCTGTCAACAATTAAAATTTTTATTTCATTTAATTATACATGAATGATTACAAATCGAACAGCCATTCTAAATCTTGTATGTCCTCGAAAATATCTTGACATCATAATTTTTAATGCTGCTGTTTCAAAATCATATGATATATGTGACATTGCAATAAGATTATCAATTGGAATTTTTGATGAATTATTTTCTTCATCAAGACGTTCTATAAAATTCAAAAGAAATCTTTATACAATGTTTAAAAACAAAAAAATTTATCTAACGATAAGTATTAGTCATTCCATAAGACTTTTGTGTTTGTACATAATTCATAATTGGTTCATCTATAGCATTGAATGTTGCAAATACTTGCCATCGTTGAACGATAAACCGTTGTAAATTTTGATTATTACTATCACAAATAGAACAAGTATTGATAACTATCAAAAAGAAAAATATTTTATTTTTATCTTACCACATAATAATAATGTATCCAGCATACATAAAAAGCAGAAATGTCGATTCAAATAATGTTATTCGGCCGTCAGATAAACACTGTTTATCATATATATATATATATATATATATTATTATTATTTCAAATGATACTTACAACAATTAAAACTATGATTGAGAAAGAATAATACACTGAATCTCGACATAATGGCCTATGTGAAAAAATATATTACAGACTAAACATAAAAAATTAATATTAAATCTCCCTTCGACAATCTCAAAAATCAATCTTCGGTCGGGTACATTCAAAGCACATGAAATTTTTAGAATATGTTAGTACTACAGTGGAGAGGGTATGATAAACATTTCAACCCTATACTCTGATGTTTTCAGACAATACTCATCAAACAAGACTCAAAAATAGTTCATTTGGCAACCAAAACATTTCCTATAGGCCTTCAAGTTATAAATTTTATTTCTTTTCAATTGAAAGAGCATGCCTGACAGAATTCTTTTTTAATTCGTACTTTTTATGCGAAGAAAAAGAATGACAAGTTTAATGACTTGAAAAAACTCTCTCAGTCGAACAAAAAAAAAAGCAATTAGTTCCAATGATGCTTCTCCAAAAATTCTGGCATGCGCATTTAAAAAAATACGAAAAGCAGAAATCATCGAAAATTTCTGAAAAAAGTACAACACACCAAATGAAAACTCACACTGTTTGTAAAAAGATCCGACCTTAAGCTATCCATACGTGTATTAGTCTTAATTTCAATTAATCTAACAAAAATAGAGTTTTTTTTTTTTTGGAAGGGAAAGTTAATCGAATACAAAATATATGATTTGAAAAACTTATAATCAATGATTATTAGTTTTTTCCTCAAAATATTCCTTTCGCCTGATTTATTTGTTGAAATCTATATTCATGTAATTGTACAGAGCATCTTCATCGAACATCAATTCTGATATGTCGAGATACAAATAGGTATTTGCATCATCAAAAAATAATTTATTTGTGTCGAATAACACATAACGCAATCAATATTTTATCGAATGTGAATCAGAAGGATCAGTTTTTTTTCGAAGATTAGCTTCTAATTTCTTGTGTCAACAACATGTAATCGTTTCAACAGATATACTATATGTCTAGGTTTGTTTCACTTATCCTAAATTACTAAGACAAAGATACGTGGAATAGTTACCAAACTGAAATAATATCGTTTAATAAAACTATAAATTTATTACTCTTTGTTCGAATTCTTCTATTAAATTTTCCTAACAATTATTGTACACAGTTAGTTGTTAAATTTACTTTAAAATTATCCTAATTTTATTCAAATTTCTTCTGAATACAAAATAATATATATTCAGCATTTGACTGAATACATATTTAACATATAACATCTACATACCACCAAGTCAATCGAATAGCCTAAAATACAAAAAATCTCATTAGTTTATCTCTATTCAATTCTCAAACTTACTCCATTAACAAACAATCCACAAATTCCAATGACACATACGACATTAAATACAGCAGAACCAACAATTGTTCCTACACCTACGTCACCTTTAGCCACAAATATTCCTAAGTTTAAAATTTATAATGAAAAAAACAAACAACATATTCTTAAATTGATTTTACATACCAATAAGAGCAGTAAAAAGTTCTGGTGATGATGATCCACCAGCCATAAATGTTGCACCAGCAACATCTTCATCAAGATTTAATGCCTATCATACATAGATACATATATAATGGGTTATGAAAAAATGATTTGACAAAATGTTCGCTCCTTCTGAAATTTGAAAATATAATATGAGAATCAAAAACTTTTGTAGAACTTCTAGTTTAATAGTTATGAATCGATATTTTCGGGGCTCGTAAATTGAGTTTCGATGTGCTGCAACGCACCAAAATCTACTCAAAGTAGAATGTTAATAGTAAGTATTTTGATAAGGTAAACCGTGTGAGTTTCAGAGAATTTCTTTGGAAAACAGGTTTCCAAACTGAACTCAGCCATTTCTGAATGATGATTCTCAAATTCTTGGTTCTTATATCATTTTGCAAAGAATAAGCTCATCTTTAATTCTATGAGGAAAATCAGTAAGACAAAATTATTATAAAAAAAAAAATGCCAATTTTCTATGTCTAATTTACTCAATAAAATCATGTTACTAGAATCCAAATACTCCAAAATGTCGACTATTCGTGACTGCTGCTGAGCGCTAGCGGAAGTTTTCGAGTACTTTCACCCTAGTATCATGATTTATTGAGTAAATTTGAATAGCATTTTTTTTACCCAACTAAAGCCATCAAAACTACGATTTACAATCATTTTGTCATTGGTATTATATTCGAAAATAAACCAAAGACAATGTTTTCAAAATTTCTGCGGACTTATTTAACACGATGAGAAGAAAATGAAGATTTTATTAAAATTACTTTTTTCATAATTTGTTTATATATTCATTAGAAATCAACATACGCAATAAAATACATACCGCACAAAGTTTGTCAAGTGCCGCAATAAAATAATCATCAACAAGAATAGCAATAGCAATAAAAATATAAATACAAGCAAATAAATGGAATACTATAGCTCCCTTGAAATAATTCATTATAATATTGATGAAATAACAATTATCATTTACTTACGTGACGTCGTTGAAGTTGTGTGAAAATATCTTCAGGAAATTCATCAATAGCTTTAATTAATAAGCAAAACAAAAAAGAAATGAAACAAAATGAGTTTATCATGTGTGATAATTAGAATATCATAAGAGAATTCAAATATAATACTCACCAGGTTCAGTACAATTTTTCATTTGTCCTGGTTGCCAACCAACTGTACTTGACTCAATAGTACTAATAGATATTGTCGATAGTTTTTCATCATCAATTGATTCTAAATAAATATCATATGTTACTCAAAAAAAAGTAAAAAAGATTAAAATAATAATTCTCATGAGAACAAGCTTCATATGTTTTTTTTATATCTATATGATCTAACGAAGATAAGATTTTTCTGCTAACCATTTTTAATAGTTGTTTTTTGTAGTTGATATTTCCAATTTGATTTTCTATTTGGAGCAGCATCACTTGGTCGAAATTGACGTCCAATAATATGAGCCAAAGCAAGACCAACAAGAATTCGAATAAAAAATTTAACATTATGTCGATTGACAATATTATGACCGACAAATCGTCTGTTTATTAGCGAAATGGATGAATTTTGAATCATAATCTTGTTGACAATCTTTTAATCTAATGAACATTGATTATATAGTCTCTAATCCTATTCTTCATTTTCTATGTTTAAGAACAATGAGAGTAAGAGAATTGGAAGAAAACAATTTGGTGAACTGAATGTGTGAAAAAGAAAAAGACAAGACTCTATAGATAGAGATAAAAAGAAAATCCAACACCGCTACACAATTAATTATTGCAAATAAAGAGGAATGAACTAAAACACAACGCCTTTTACCGGAAACAAATAGAAAGACAATGAGAAAAAGACCGGAAAAATGTCAACGACAGAAGGATAGATATACAAAAAATTGAACTAGATAATGCAATAAGAAAAAGAATGTCGATAGTGATCGTCATATTGACTACAAATCATAAGAAAAAAAAAAAACTACTTCAACATAGGAAAAAGAAAGAAAAATGAGCCATACAAATATTTAGTCATCAATGCATTGTCTTCTTCTATTCTTATTTGTCTTATTCAGATTTCTGCCAACAAAATTATGGTTTCTTTTCTGTTAAAATTCTAGCTTTGCAATTCCACAAGAATGATCAACATATGCATACATTCAAGCAAGAAACTGATAATAGACATGCATGCATATATGCATAAAAAAACGACACAACCAACAAGAAATGACTCGGATCGTGTGTCATCTATTAGCACATGAAAGAAACCATAGGTTTAGTCAATGAAGGAGAGGAAACAAAAAAGGAATAGTCATTGTTGACTCAATCGAAAGAAAAAAGTCATTACAACATAAAAGTAATTAACAATAATTTGAAAAGGATGACATTAGAAATATCCGTTTGTTATATTTAATGATAACAAACATTGAGTGCGAGATTTTTAGAATGAATAAATAAAAATCTATGATTATTATTTAGAATTGTTTTCTACTAAATTTTTCATTCATTGGTGTTAATCCCAATGGAAACAATCAAATTATCTATTCATCATGCTGTAAATTTCAATAGCAATATAAAAAAATAATTTAATTATCATTCTAATATTTCTTATAAACTGTAGTCAAATAAATAGATTTGTCTACTCATACATAGAACTAATCAATAATATTTGCCAATCTTACGACCAACATCAATAATATTGTAACATAATTAATCAACTGATTTGTACAAAAATGATAGAGAATCGATCTACTGAATATTCTAATGAACTAATTAACGAAGTTGTTTACATTGATGAATATTCTTCGAAGTATTTATTCTACAATCCGAATATTTACTTATTGTAAATACAGAAGAAATATTTTCTTTAGAATAAATTACATCACGATTGAGTAAAGAATCAATTTTTTTGAATCATAATTATTAAAGCGAATAATTGAAATAATTATGAAAATATGTTCTATATGATTCATAATAAAACTGACAGTAACTTGAAATGGAAATGAAGTCAAAAGACAATGATGATTTCCTTTTGTTTGCTTCTTTTTTTTTCTTTTCTTATGTTCATTATTCAAAATTACAACAAGCTAAACGCATAAATGGAAATTTTTATGTAAAAAAGAAAAATGCATGTCCTATGTTGAATACATTTATCTTTTAAAGTAAAATAAATGTATTGACTTGAACAACTATCAAACTTTGTTTTCTTACTCTAATGAATCAATATCGATAATGAACCGTTAATTTTTAAATTAAAAATATATGCTACAATAATGATAAATGTACTGAGAATTCAATATAATATTTCTGGAAAAAGCTATTAACACAATCCCTGTAGAATTGCAATGTGAAAGACGATGTAACTGCTGTTGCTAATCACAGGAAAATTGTTTTGTTCATTCTATTTCCGAATACATTTCTTCATCCATGTTTTGCTTAATTCTTCAGAAATACAATAAGAGAATTGTTCATGCATGGTTTTTGATCATATATCAACATCTATCATGAACTACGACAGGAAAGGAGGTTTTAGTTTTCATTCGTAGGCTTCAACATTCATTTTAGATCATGTTTCAAAAAAAAGAAAAAAAAAGAAACTGTCAAAAATCTGACTTGTTTTTCTCGTATGTATAGAACATAAAAAAAGAATTTTATTTTTTATAAATATTTTGCGCCTCGTTGGGTAAAACATTAATTCTTTCACAAAATATTTATCAGGAATAAATGTAATTATATTAGTAATTTATAATTTTTAGTCAAAATTTGAATTAGAAAAATGTGCCAATGGAATGGAATAATAACAATAAAGCAATAAAATCATATGAGATAGACAATGAAAATTAGGGCTGCCAATAGACTATTTTTTTGTCTCGTCTGGCGGCTTAGAATGCCTGCAGGGTTTCAGTTGTACGCTTAATTTAATTTCATAACGACAAGATAATAACAAGTTCTTAGACAAAATAGCAAATTAAAATATAGAGACAATTATCGAAAATATTTTTCATATAAAAAAGCTTGAATTAATAGAATCTTTATTCTGCTTATTATGAATACTATTTCTCATAATCGAAAAAAACATTCTCTGAAAAACAAAAATAACGTATGATCAAACATAGAATGAAGAAGGAAAAGAAAATGTAAGAAATTCGTGATACTTATAACAACAGACAAAGATATTTACATTTGACAATCAATTTTTACAACAGTAGGAACACAAAATTTACTATCACATTTTTTTGGATTTAAACAAATTCTTCCCTCAGTTAATATAAATCTTATAATACTACAATAATATTTTGTTCAAACATTTGTTGCTGGAAATCAAATGCATTTGCTGAAGTATTCTCGAATAATGAGGCAATGTATCAACATTTGGTTTCCATAGCGTCAAAACCAGACCAGCAGCTATGATAAAAATGAGACAATATATATATATACGTGGTCAGATAATCTGGTTTGATTAATATTTCGAATTCTATTTCTATATTGTATGCATACTGTTCCATTTGAAAAAGTTATTTCGACATAAAAAAAAGTATGTAGATTTTCATAGATGATAAAATTGATGTCAAAAGCAGCTCCTGTATCCTATCTGATGGTTGCTTTAGGCTTCAGATGTTTATTGATTTTCAGAAAAATCTTATCAGTGTTTGTTAAAGATAATCATATAATCTCATTCAAAAGCAATAGTCATTATCATTCGTATTTTGTAGCATATGAATTCATAACTTTTTAATGCGTTTTTTTTTTGCTAAAACAATGATAAATTAGAATTTGATATTAAAAATATAATAGTTTTTTTTTGTTTTCTTATTCTTTTCTGTTGAAGAAAAGTTTTTCGAATGTAAATACGTCTGTTGTCGAAATCTACAATTTCTTATAAGTGTTTTTTTTTTCAATTTTTGTAACACTTATGAAATAGTAAGAAAAACAGAATGTAATCTGATCAGAAAACATTTTCTCGTGGACACCTGAGAAAAATTGCTCGTGTATATAATTGATGTTTTTCAAGTACAATTTCTCCTATCGAATAAATATAATTCAGTTTTAAAAACAAAATTTTTCTTTAATAATATAAAACAGAACGTGTTTTATTTTGGAAAATTAATAGTTTCAAGTAGATTAATCATGCTAAGAATATATCTAATTGTACATCGATTTAATTATATACTAACAAATATAGGTTACACCGCATTATATCAGTGTTAATTTAAATAATGTTCAATCAAAATCGAGAAAACGATGTAAATAAATCGATGTTTTCTTAAAACCATTCTAAACAGCATGTATACATATTAATAATAGAACGATCAGCGCAAAATACGCTGCTTCAAAAGTATTAAGCCCCACCCACTCAAAAGTTCAAATTGCATGAAATTTTCAGGACATGCTGGGGCTATAGTGGAGAAGCTATGGTACAATTTTCAGCCCGATATCATGATGTTTAAGGGAGATACTGACCAAACAAGAGTCAAAAATAGCTCATTTGGCAAACCAAATTTCTCTGTCCAGGTTCATTCTACATAATTAATTTTTCTTTTGTTTAAAAAAGCATGTCAGGATGCAGTGCAGTACAGAGCCCTTTTTTCAAAGTGTTACTTTTTAGGGAAGAAAGGGGGATCACAAGTGCAATGACTCAAAAAACCCTGAAAAAATGGGTGTCGAGTTATACAAGTGTCTGCATATATAATAAAGAAAAGCTTAATTGGAAAAAAAAGGGCTCTGTACTGCACTGCATCCTGACATGCTCTTTCCAACAGAAATAAAATAAAATAAATCGAATGAGCCTGGAAGGAGAAATTTGGATTGCACGACCAAAAAGGCTTAAACTGGGAGAAAACGAAAAACATTTGTTGATTTTTCAAGAACAGCTGGTTTTTCGAATAGGGGATGACGAAAATCTTCGAGAATTTTGGACAAAAATGAGGTATCGAAGAAAACTTTTTATCAGTTATGAAAGAGCAGACCACGGGCTATCTTTCCATGCATTTATATCCATTTCGACTTTTTTGACGAAAATTGACTTTTTTTGAGTGGGGGGGGGGGGGGGGGGCGTGAATATTTTTCTTTGCTTGTGGTATAACAACCCCTCTCGATTGTTCGTGGAAAATGCGCTTGTGTTGGGGGGGAGGGGCGGGGGGCTTAATATTTGTCATTGCTACGTGTATAACAATCCTTCTCGTTGCTACTATTGCAATACCTCTAGCACTTGTTCCTACTCATACAGATCTTTTTGAAACAACTAATTGTAAGTAATTATTAACATTTCATATTTTATTAAGTTTCATTTTCTATTTAAAGCATTGAGTACAATAACAGCTACTACTACTTCTAGTTCACCATCACTATGTTCATCTTCTATAATTATTAATGATCTTATATGTTTAGCAACAACTGCTGACGGAAACACATGCGACTCATCTATATTCAGTTAAAATACGATTTAGGTTCGATTTAATGGGTCTGATGAAACTGAACTAGCAACATCTGCTCTATTCCGAATGATAAACTATACTTCGTTTAATGTATTTGGTCTCATCATTTCAGCTATATTTAACGCTCATTATTGTATTGTATAAACAAAAGAAATTATTTTAACTGTGATAAGAAAAATTTAATAGATGACGATAATTTTTTGTCTTCTACAATTGTTATGTGTTAGATTTTCGTAATGGTCACGTCATTGTTCACACTATCTTAAAAATATAAACTTGTAATATTTGTCGTTTTTTTTTCTCTTTGTTTTGAAAAGAAGAAGATGAACATGAACAAAAGAATATACTACTATAAATATCATATTTATATTAGAAGAAAACAAAAATGAAATTATTTGTAAGAAATTCTGCAAAAACTTCATAACAAATGATAGTTATACTTAACATCAAATATATAATCACGATGATTGAGTGGCTACGTTGTTTGGCAGATGTCTTCAAGGTAGTGTGCTCAAACCTTAGATGACCCTGGACAAGTCACTAATGACTTTTGTCTCGAATGATATGTGACATACACATACCCTTGCGGTTAGTTACTGTATATAGGAAGTTCAAGTAATTGAACACGAGAACTCTGTATCAGATTTTTTACTACTGAATCTGTCACTAGGCAGCAATCTATATCAGAAGGTAGCCGAAATGCAAATGTATTCTTTCTTCGAAAATATAACGCTTATCTATTTGTATTGGGATGTAATCGTTCATTGAACTCTTATTCACTTGGATGAACATTTAAAATTATTCAATCACAGTAACGTTTATATTTATAGAAATTTTAGATTTAAACCTTGATAATAAATAGACCAGTCGAAATCATAATATGCATTGACAGATTCGGTCATTCGAAATTCGAGATTAACTCGAATAGAGTATCTAAAGAAAAGTACATATTGATTCGATACGAGTAATTACCATTCATTTCTATCATATTCAGCATTTATAATTCGATTGGTATTGAAATATTTCTTGAAATTCTTCCAATAAAATTCAATGTAAATAGAAAAACTTATCACTATTTTGAGAAATATTTCAAAAGCTGCACTGATTATTCTTGCTCGTCGATGTATAGTACTCTTCTTTTTTTTTTTTTTTTTGTTGGAAAACCTTTCCTTATACATATCACTCTTGATAACATACCGATATCAATGTCATTCAGAATAAAGTATTCAATGACAACATTTTCTGTCACATTACAATAGATGTATTGAATCAAGTTGTTCACCAAATCCAAATACGAAACTTAACTTGTATGCTCATTGTTCAAATTCGTTAACTATATCTATATATTGGCAGACGCACACAAATGATAACAAAATTGATGATTTGTCATGTTCATCATTGATTTCAAGATCATGCGTACTTATAAAAAAGACAATAGTTCATTATTCTAGGATAAAAATCATGATAAAAGCGAAAACGATGTATCATATAGGAAATAATTGATCAAATATTACAACTAGGAGTATATGCAACAGATGAAGGTCTCTTTTTTTATACTAATAATCATGGTCGTGTGATCCTATCGTCTGTTATATTAATCAAATTTTTTTTTAGTCAATTTTTTTATGAGAAAAAATTATTACATCTTAACTTGAATATATTTCGTTTAACTAGATCAATTTATTTGTTTTCGAACAATTTTCACTGTAATTGGATTTATTATATGTTTCTTTTTTGTCTTTCAAATGTATAAAATACATATCTATTTCTTTCTTAAATGAAAATATATGATTTGATCAATAAATAAAAGTGTTCAAACATGAACCAGACGTGCGTTTTCATAGATCAGTGTACGCATAAATATCGAAAGAAACTTTCATCTATAATTATTGACCTCGGTAAGAAGTTGACCGCAAAAAAAAAGCGAACTTTCACCGAATAAATGCATGTGATTATTCAACCGTAACTATTTGAATGATATGGCTAAAACGAATAAAAAAAAAGAAGGGAACAAACTCAACAGACAGACAACAATAAATAACGATTCAATTTAATAACTTTAGTTTCACAATAATCTTTTTCGAAAATTTATTAATTATAAAGTTTAAATACAATATGAACCACTTCGATTTGTGTTTTTATCGACAACGATATATGTTAAGAAGAAAATTGATAGTAATGATTGATAGCCATTTCTTATATCCTCATTGATGTCCTATTCTTGTTAAAAGTACAACATTGGAGAAAAAGAGAAAGAGAGAGAAAGAGAGATATGCGCTTAGTTTTTTCGAATAATTAAACGTACAACGATGATATATAGTTTGTCTCCTATGAACATATTCTTTACTCATTACATACTCGAGCATATAGGGTTTTTTTCCCTTATTCTAATAGTAACAATCGTTTTTGTTGTATGTCTCTTTCAATCACTATGAAATAAAAAAAAAAAACAGAATCATATAACATTACTAAAAGAAAATTGAACGCGTGAATAGGTAAGTGAAGATCTTGATACTATTGATGAACACATTTATATCAAGATTTCATTAGAATTATTCAGGGTTATTTTAATGAATAGGCGATATATATCTTTCCAATTATTCATTATATATTAATGACTATAGAACACGCATACAAAAAAAAAAAAACATGAAAAGTATCGAAAAATCTTTTTCAATTACTCGTTTTTTTTTTGTCTTTTATTTAATGTGATGTGAATAACCGTAGAAAACCGATTAATTTTTTCGATTTGTATGTTTAAACATATTTTTTTATTTTAGATTTAATCTTTTGTTTTTCTTTTGATTAATAACATGTTTGCAACGGGTGCATTCAATCAATTTCCAATGGGTTTTCAATATCCCGGACAACAACAACAACAACAACAACAACCACCAACATCCATCTATCAATCACAATATAATGGATTTAATCGACAAATTCCAATGCCTTTTCAACAAACACCATTACCACGTGGGCAATCATTACCACGTGGACAATCATTACCAGCATCTACTAGACAAAATCAACTATTGAATAGACAAAATCCGCCATCGAGTCGACAAAATCCACCATCTAATGGTGCTTATGCTCCAAAACCGTCTCGACGATATGAGCAATATCCACCATCAGTTCCAGTTCATCAGTATGAATATGGTAATAATTATGCGCTACAAAGTAAGTTTTTTATTTTAAATTTCTTATCTTAAATCGAAATAGCTTATTTGCGATTTATTTACTTCTCTATCTGTGAGAGAACTCAAAGAGACGAAAGCAATTCAAAGACATAAAATAATGAGTAAAGATAATGTTAGTTATGAGCGATGGTTTACAGCGTCGAATTACTTTGGTATTCAAGAAGAATACATAGGTCATTGACAAACAAATTGCTTGAGATATGTAGAGTAGAACGAAATTATATAAACATAGGATACGTATTTATTTCGTCGCCTCCCTCCCCACACTTCGTTTTTACTCACGCGGTAACATATGTAAGTGTAAAATCGCTTTTGAGTCAAGACTATGCGCATCATGTAGGCGTTAGTGAGTCTAGAAGAAGCCCAAAAGAACAAGGGCTGCTAGGCCTATCTTCCCGAATTATGACCGTTTTATTGAATTTTTTGCCCTATGCAAGGTACTTCGAGGCAAATCGAAAGAAGGAATTTTGAGCTGAAATTTTGCCCATAAGTCGGCCGAATGATTCCTAGAATGTCCTGAAAGTTTCAGCCAAAATGAATGTTCTCTTCTTAAGATATTCAATTTTTTT